GCACATAACTAAGTCTATTTAGTAGTCTGTATGCTCTCCAAACATCCGAATATAATGTAGTACCTGGCTGCAGCCAGTGTTACTGGTGCTTTCATTATCCAGTTCACAATAATTGTCGTGATTCGCCTTAGTTAGATTTTCATCACGAATTGACATCAGCTATAATGCCAGAATTTTATTTAGCCAAATGGATGAAAGGCTTTCGCGTTAAAATCCGAGATCTATTATCTTATACCTGATTGATTCGTCCACAAATTATAGTCTTGCCGTTTTATTTGTTATAGCCGCTCAATTATCACGTTTTGTACAAAATTCCCTGTGAACCGATCGTACGTTAGCATTAAGCACTGGAGTTGGCACGGTAACCTTGAAATCTCTAGAACGCCTGTTATTGGCTCGTCCATAAATTAGAGTCTCGCCAAGAAATCATTTACTTTATTTAATATTTTAACAAACATTTAAATTTCAAGTTCAAGATTGTTTATTGTGTATACTGTGATCAAATAAAGAATTTCAATAGTTGAGATCATGAGTCAATTGAAGTTAGATCATCATGGAGAACATGGAAGCATTGGACGGCCGTTTCACCCTATTGTTGAACTCTTCATCCATGAACAAGCCCCACGAGATTCGAACTCAGGATCTATCAGTCTCGGATCTCGTGAGGCCAGATCGTAGATGAGCACTGCTGAGGAGTTCCACAATAGGACGTAACAGCCATCTAGTGCTTCTGGGTTTTCCATGGTGGTCAAGCTTCAATTGTCTCATGATCTTAATTATTGAAATTACTATAATATCCACAAAAAACCCCTTCAAATATAGAACTGTTTGAAACAAAAGTATAATGAGATCCTTTTTTTCTAGCTCGTTGCATTCTAGATTTTTAGATTTTGAAATCGCATATAGTTAATTGCGGAATCATACCATACATACCTGAATAAAATATCAAATATGTATATAATTCCTGGTAGTTAGATAACAGTCAGTAATTAATATGAACATTCTATATTACTTAATTACATCTTTTGCCCCTCGTGGAGAAGTACAGGCCATCCACAAGCATCCCCCGTTCTGAGCAATCTTTTCTAGTTGTTCTCAGTTGCTATTGATCCTTTCGATGTTTCCCGGTCTTTCTCTTTTCATTTCCCCCTCAATATTTCGAGTTAGTGCTTGCTCCATCATGTAGTTCGATGATTTCCTCAATGTTTGTCCTATCCACCTCTAGCGTCTTCTAAATTCCTCATCAACTGGAGGCTGATTTGTTCTCTGCCATATTAGGTTGATGATATATTAATATGAATATAACTCAATGATTTTTTTACACACAACTTCCTCATGGCCTGAATTTGCTGACTGCCTATATTGAGTATTAGATTAAGTTATCCTAAAGTAATTAATATTCTGTTTCTTTAGTAAGAAAAACTATACACTTTACTGACTGGAAGATTTTGTTTGAAACAAATGTACAATTCTTGGCTATTGAACACCCAATGTTACTTCTCAATATAATTTCGCATTGCATTTGATTTCATCATTACGTTTATATTTAAATGCCAGTATTAGATGTAAAGAAAATTCTGTTCACATATCAATAAATCCAACATCCAAACAAAAAATGTATGAAGGTTTATTGCCCTTTCTGTTATGGATTCCCCTACGAATTTCATTTTGCACCAATTAAACACACGTCCAAATGAGGACTAAAAAATTAGTTTTAAATGATCATGTCAGTGGTAAAAATCTCTTACCTGATTTCTTTCTGTTTTTAATGTACATTAATGGGTTGTTGATAGCATTAAATTTGATAGTGATAAAATGGTAAAGTAATAATCGTTTTACTTGATTAACCGGTAGATATCCAAATCTTAAATACTGAATCGAAGATTTTCCGTTTTGAAAAAAATCTCTTCTACCAAAATTCTGTCTATACAGGAGATCATCTGACATTGTTTTCTGAGACATGTAACCACTTTGAATAATTTGTCAGTTTTTGATCAAAAAATTACATGAAAATGCCCTTCCAAAGTACATTAGTGTACTGTTCGAATAAATTTTTGGAATCAGTAAATTCTAAATTTTAATAACACTGAATCGCAAATAATTACGTCACTGATATTAACGTTTACTGAAATACTATTAGAAAAACTAAAAGGAACCATGATTTTTTCATTTATTGAGAGGGAAATGGGATTAGGCTAGAGAAAATAATTAACGTGTAAACTACTTTTAACACAATTTGTAAAGAACATTTTTCCAAACTGTTTTTTCTCATCAAAACCCTATCCATGTTACGCCTAGACAGTAATCTTTATACATTATTTTGTCTAAATGTTTTTTAGGGGTAATAAACTACTTTGCAAATACACTGTGATTACTCAATCTCACTAAAACACTTATGTTCACGTTATATCTAACCATTTTCCTGCTTCTAATAACCCGTCACAGCTGGTTTCAAACGAGTAAGCCTACCAATGGTCAAACAGTTATTCCACAGATAAATGTGTTTAGCGAAATAAGAATTCGAATACACTTCTATCTGGATAAACCTAATATACTAGCTACAGTAACTAAGTTCTTGCGCGCTACATGAAAAGATTCAGTAATTCTACAAACTCTACAAAGCTGTGATTAATATAGTCCGATCCGCGTCGAGTGTGAGACAGTTATTCACCCCATTCAATGAATAAAGAGTTATGCAAGATCATAGATTGATTGAAGTTGGACATTCACATCGTCGGGTTTCGACCACGTGGCCTAGGAGTAAAGAGTCTTGGGTTCAAGTCCCATGTGAGGAACCGTGGGTGTGCATACTTGAGGAGTCTCATACTAGGGCAAAACGCTCATTTGAGGCTTCCAGGTTTTCAGTGGTGGTCTAGCCTAAATCAACTAACGATTTAAACTTTTAAAATTGTACAGATATATTATGCCCTTATCCAGAACATGAATTGTGATTTCTCTAGAAGTGTATATATACACAAAAAATTTGCTTCTAAATCGGAATGTCAAAAAGTTTACCTTCAGTTTATACGCAGAAAAACACTAACCTAAAAATAGAAACTAGTTAGGATTTATTCTTTATTTTAACTAAACATTGTTGCAACCTTTTTACCGGCTGATTCACACGCACACAACTAACTAAAACACATGCACAAATGTTATCTTGAATCCGATTTCTATATAATACGCATTCCTAATAAAACGTAATGTCTAATAGTTTATACTTCATTCCATGAAAGATTGAAATGATGCAAATAACTGCATTTAAACAACATTTGTATTATGGTAAAAAAAAGACAGTTGTTATGTTTGCGCTGTTCATTAGTTCATGCATTCTTCAATTAGATAATGACACAAATTGAAGATTACATTCCATTATAGTTATTTGAATGACTAGTATAAAGTAAATGAATACGAGAATAGGTTCTGAAATGTTTGTTTTTATAATGTACAGTTACTATGTTTAGTAATGACAACTATGTAGTACATTCATAAAATAACTGGTCTTTTATATACATCTAACAGTAATAATATTAACTTTGTTATAAGCAAAAACATTTCGTCATCTTTATTTCGAATACAGAAGAATATCAACAATGAATCATCAGATTTCAGAAAGACAAATAAATTTACAACAGTTAGTAATTGTACCGAATTTCCAGTTGGAATTATTATCAACACAATTTAATTAACTATCAGTATACTACTAGTTATTCTCGAATATAGAAAACGGTAAATAAAAGAATTCATAATATACCACGATTCAATATCCAAAATATCATCAACTTTATGAAAAGTATGTAGGATATTGTTGAGCTATGAAATACAGTATTACGTATTAATATAAAGAAATAATGTATATACTATGACTGAAACATACTATCTACATACCATCAGTTTTGAGAGTTAATTACCATCTTTTGTTTAATTAGATATTATTAAAAATGATAAAAACATGAATTATTTAAGACTGCAATTGATCAGTCTCTTGTTGGCATATGTGCATCCTGTGCGAACTGCTTCGATATTGCCTTAAGTCACTAGCTTTATAAACAAAGATGGATAGTGGCTAGCAGTGGAATCCAGGAAGCGCGTTTCCTTCTATTCGGGACACAACAGCTGAATGTACATGCATTTCAGAGTTCATGTTCAATCTGGGACTCGAACACAATACTATTCGCTTCAATTTTCTATATAAGTAATACCAATCTTAGCATTTGGAAACATGTAAACATAAATAAGCCCTTAAATCCATAACTTCATTTTTTATTCACTAATTGCTTAAATCATATACAACTAATTATTAAAAAAGTTTGTCAATATCTTCTTATTTATTACATGATGGTTTGGAAATGAAGCTAATAGACTATCATTTGCAGAATAAATATACCGTCATATGTTCACATTTTTTTATCAGTTCTGAAACTTACTTTCACATTATTCACATCACTCTAGATAAACATGATCTATGATGCAAAAGAAATCTTGTATTATCAGTATGTTTCATTCGAAATCATAAATAAATTTGTATTTATAATCAAATTACCTACTTAATAGTTCATTGTCAATATTTCTATTAAACTGTTGTTATCTGAAATGTTGTAAAACAATTTTCTTTGCCCTGAAAATAATTTCTTTCTCCCTATAATAGAAATTAACCTCAATGTAAAGGTTAAATTCCAACTTGTAAATAATATTGAATGAAATATAGGATACGTAGCACACTATTCACTCAATGTGTCCAGAAAAACTTCGATTTGGCATTTACACACACGTACATAAATTTATGGGTCATTTAGTGTAGACCAATGTATACTAATCATCTGTGTTAAACTAAGCATCACGTGTCAGCTTACTAAGTTTGTAATTCAATATAACCGGTATTTTTACAGTTAATTGTGCATGAATGGCTAGTAGTGAATTGCCCAATACAAAATATGATTATAGTGCCTATAGACACACATAAACTAAGGGTACATCCATATATCTATATATACTACCAAGTATAACGTAAATGTAAATTATTAGTCTGTACCTTTGTAAAAAAAAGCTGTTCAGTTTATTTTTTTTAGATCAGAAATAAATGGATTACAAACAACGGTATTAGAAGTCAGTTCAAATATAAAAAACCGGCCAATTAATACTAATTAGGTGAGTATCTTACAAAAATTTTAGAGTCATCAGTTCTTATAGCTTGTTGTTATATCACATGAATTTTTGTGGGACAGTGGAGTAACAGCCAATAAGTGTTCATAATGATAACGATGGTAATTTTGGCCTATCTGTAAGAACTTAAGATGTTGGATTAGACTTTAAACATTTTGGAGAATTCTTTGAATTATAATAAGGCTAGACAGACTTCTGTGGTTCCTATGAATAAAAACCAGTTCTGAATTTCGGTAAACTGCTTGTTATTTCCTATGGTCATTTTTACCATACTTGACCCTCTTAACCTGATGTGAAAATACACTGTTTTGAGAAGCAGTAGAAATGAAGTAGCAAAACAGATTAATGAGAAACAAAAGTGATTTAGTAAAAGTAATCATTAGAGAAGCTGCTTTTCAATTATCTTTATAAATCAAACCATTCGATCTCATAGTGCTTGATAATTGTGTAAATTCAAAGTTATTTTGAAATAAGGTGAACTATAGAGTTTTGTGAATTCCCCTAAAACATGTAGTGTGGTCTTTTTAATGACCATGACATGTTTATGAGAATAAATATTTGTCAAAAATATTGGAATATTTGACGTAATAAAATCTAGCGAGGCAGGATCGTGGATGAGCACTGCTGAGGAGTCCCATAGTGGGACGAAACGGCCGTCCAGTGCTTCCAGGTTTTTCATGCTGATTTAGCTTCAATTGAATCATGATCTCAACTATTAAAATCACAATAATATCCACAAAACCACTCTGATATTAATAAAAAAGATTAAATAGCGAAATGTTCATTTATTTAGTTTTATTTCTAAAGACAAACAATAGTTTTGATAATTAATGGATGTTTTTCTACGTTGGTACAATTAAGCAAAGATGGATACTGGCTAGCGGTAGAATTCAGGACGCGCTTTTCGTCTTACTTGTGAAGTTCGAACGCCAGAATTTTCGTTGTCAAGTATTCGATGAATAGTAGCTAGACAACCGTCTAACTGAAGTTTTTGATTTACTCTGTAATAAGTGCCCTTATGCTGTCAGACATTTTCAGTTCCAACCTCACAAAATAATATTACATAGTTTAAACTCAGATTCTGAATAATACTTCTGTTTGACCTATATGTGAATTTCGATACCGGAACTATAATGTGGCAAATCTATACGAAAGTCTGATACAATGTACACACAAGCTGATTTAACGCAAAGACAATAGTGAAGAAACTAACTACAGTTGAACACACACCATAAATAGATGGGACTCGTTGAATTATTGTCTTAAATAACCTATAAAGTTCTTAATTTCGTAATTGCTTGTTATTTGTAGTTTTCTGCACGAAAGCTCATTTGGAATAGCTAGACGTTCACATAAATATTGCATTTTCATCTGAAAAGCCATACTCTACAACATTATTTTAACAATTCCACTACATAGTAACAGTCAAATCTTTAAGTATTTTTAATTTAATTTCCATTATAAATAGCTGATATGTTATTACTCCGTAGTAAGTGAAAAATTTCTGTTTAAGTTATTCATCTATCCACTTATTTTGTGATTCAAAAGAAACGGTTTTAAAAGCGATATTTTGTTACTTTTCTGTCATTTAAGTACCAAATAATAAAAAGAGATAAGAATGAGCACAACAATAAATGGAGCCTTTTTATGAAGTCAAGTGACAGTTTCTTCGTCAGTTGTACAACACATTGTAGGCTTTTTGATAAAATTTAAGTATGTGATAGAAATTAGCGGTTGTCATTATTTAAGCGACAAAAACCAAAACTAATTACATTGATGTTCCTCCAAACAGTATTTTCTTAGTCCACTAATACTTATTTTACTCTGTTTAAATGTTTATCTATGCCATTTTTAGTCAGTCACTTCTTTTTTCTCATTGAAAAGTATGGCATTTTCAATAGATATACTTCTATAAATATAATTCAGCGGTACATAATCTATAAATCAGGTTAGTATTTTACAAGATAAAACTGGATACACCAGTTTTCATCTGTAATTTTTAAGCTCCTACTACGTGAATAAAAGTAGTAAAAATGAATGTGCATAAATGAACATAAATCATATTCTGAGGAAGGTTTTGTGGAGATTTTAGTCATTTAGTAGTTGAATTCATGAATCAATTAAAGCTAGACCGTCATGGAAAACCTGGAAACGCTGGACGACCGTTTTGGAACTCCTCAGCGCATTTCTGAGGAGTTTAATTGACTCATGAATTCAACTAATAACTATTGTATGTAATTTGGGAATACTTGATTTTCCACAAAATTACGAGGATATCGCTTTGAAATTTTTGATCTTGCAAGATTAAAAAAGGTTTTTATTTTAAAATAGTAGGGAGGATTAAGAGATATTTGTAACCCTTAAAATATGTTTAATGAATCTCAATATAATATAATATATTATTATCATAGACTAAAGTTATGAACCGTCCACTTGACTACTTTTAATCAAGAATTCATAACTTTCTGCGAGCTTATCAGGGATACTTGATCCAACATTGAATCTATGTAGGCTATACAAAAAGACGAAGTTTGTAAATTGATTTACAGAATTCTGTAATATAAATAATTCTCCTTGCCAGTACAAGCATACACTTGATCAAGTCTAATACAGCAACATTGTACCATCTCAAGAGTAACTACACCTAAGTATTGTGAATTTATCTAAATTAAACTCAATTTTATTTTGATGATTGGTTATGCACTTTGAGATCATAATTTCACTCATTTCAAATATACACATATATATGCAGTGCCGACACACTCAGTGAAAAGGAAATTTCTTGAATCCTAGAGATTGAAATTTATTCAACAGTGAAAGAGGACAGTTATCTTTACTTGTTAATAATCAGTATCTTATAAAACTTCAACTGAATAACTTAAGTGTTATATTGAAATATATAGTGAAGTACAAGTACTTCTGCAATGTATAATAGTTGTTAATAGTATTTCAATAAGTTACTTCTATTTTACAATGAATTTATCTTGACTAGGAAACCTTTTTGTAATAAAGTAAACTACTTATAAGCTAGATTAATTGTTATCAAAGTGATCATAGAACACAGTTTTACTAATTTTTTAATCAACGTTGTTACATTATTTTGATAACTGCCCAAACTGTTTTTGTAAACTTCAAGTCAGTATTTTGATAAAAGCATTTTATAGTTGAATTTATGAGTCATTTAAAGCTAGATCACCATGAAAAACCTGAAAGTACTGGATGGCCGTTTCGTCTTAATATGGGACTCCTCAACAGTGTGTATCCACGATCCTGCACCATCTCATAGTAGGACGAAACGATAGTCCAGTGTTTGGAGGTTTTCCATGCTGGTTTAGCTTTAATTGACTCATGAATTCAACTATTAAATTATTAAAATCTCCTCAAAACCCCTTCCGATAAAAACATTTTGTTTAGCTTTACTGATATATATATATATATATATATATATATATATATATACATCGTTTTCTCTGGCTGTTTAAAATTGCAGAATATACAGTTAGAATAAAACAAGATGGTTTATGATTTGTTTGTTTTTTATCGTTTAACCAATATTCATCTCTATTGATATTATATGATGTAAACTAATGTTTCGTTTCTTTTTTTCAAAATAAATAAAGAAACAGATATATGTATTTTAGTTACGAAGGGAAAACGCATAAACGGAATATTTTTTTACACATAATTAATAGTACGGATTTGTGGTAAACAAAAGTAAATCATTTTGCGCACAATAAAAATGCAATTTTTATTGGCTTTTAGCCAACAACAACAAAAAATACTAACACCAGTTTTTCTTTGTTTAGAATTAATTCAGCCATTCAGTAGCTTTTAAATGCTTGAATAGTTTATATTAGATAGTTTTTTTATGTTGTACGAGGACAGGCTAAGTTCCAAAGTTTTACCTATTTCATTTAAAACACATAAAACTTAACATATTTGCTTATGATGATTGTTTGAACGTTACCAATCATTATATTTGAGAACTAAAATTATATAAAGATGGTTTACCTTGTGAAATGATAGATGAATGACTACTGAAAGCATCTTCTGTTGATTGTTACATTTAGGTCAATGATATTTCGGTTACATAAAAACAAGATTCCATGGTATATTTTGTTTTCTAAAGCTCTATTTGGTATGTTAGATAACTTAGATGATTTTAACTCAGCTCTCATTTATTTGTACAAATACACAATTTGGAATTATTTCTATAAATATACGATTGAAATATGTTTGATACAAATACGAGTAACTTGCTTATCGTTACGAATAGTGAATATTGAAACTATAAACCATATTGAAACCAAGATTTTAACTAAAAATACATACATATCAGTCGCAAAACTGTATTAAATAGTTGAATAAACATTGGTAATCCAATTGTTTATACCAACAGTCATAGAATAATCCATATTTTAATTCAATTAATAAGTACTATCTTTGAGTTGTTAGACAGATTATAACCAATGAATTTCATTATACCTTAGATACACACCATCTAGAAAAACTTGTAGTGGCTGTGCTTCGTTGACCAATCACCCTCATAACCGTTGTCATATAATCCTCAACGGTGTTTGAAATCAGAAGGCGAAGAGAAGCAGCGACCACAGTTTTTATTAGCAGATAACTCAGGCCACCAAACAGAGAGGCAAATGAATGAGTTAGCGTATTGACAGAGTAGAGAGTGTAGGTTTAAATGTACGCGTATATATATATATATATATATATATATATATATATATATATATATATATATATATATATATATTGGGAAATGAATGGATCATCGAATCAATTAAGCAGCTAATGATAAAGCTAACAGAATGAATATATGCGTAGGCGGTAAGCAATGTTCAAGCATATATATTTCATACAAGCACAACAATAATAAAGGCACAATAAGTTGTTATTAGTACAGATGACTCTATCCGCTAAATAAGCTAACAAAAGGGGTTAACCGAATTAAATGAGAACAAACTCAATTGCACATGAGGTGCTATAAACTCACAACTCAGCATCGATTACAACATCACATCACTTACATCCATTAAAATGATGATTTCAACTCAGTGGTTAGAAGTTCTTATTATGTTAAGGATTGTAGAAGCAAATTCTTGCCCATATATTAATTTATTCTTTAAAATCTAATATATTGCAGTTGTTAGAAAAACAAAATCACATTTGATTACAGTTGTCCAAGATAAATCAAAATGTTAAAATGTTTAATCTACTTTATTCATTTACTGCTTGAATATTATAATATAAATTATATTTGTCTTGATTTATGTGTATTTCTTTACTAAAGAATACCATTATTAATAGTTTATACTGTTTTCTTTTCTTCTTTAAACTAGATACATGTATTAGACAATCCTTGTTATTATTGAATGCTTTTTAAATTAACTTTATTATTGTGTGTTGTAAACATGAAGTGTAATAAATCAAATAATATGACTTCATATATACAATATATACAGACTTAATGTTATATGTACGTGTGTTCAACCTGTTTTTCTATTTTGTTCTTGAAACTTAATGTATAATTTTCACATATAATGACTTCTCTATACTCGGAGCTCAATTACTGTCAAACTATTCGTTCTAATCTTGACGAATATTCGTATATATACTGATGATAGTTTATAAAACATTTTCCATTGATATAAATAATTTCTTATAACTTTAAAACTGTTCGAGTTAACCTTCTTCTATAAATGTGAAGGTTATGAACTTATGTGTAATTTTCTTGGTTTGATATTAGTCATCCGGTTGACAAAATGTTAATAATACAGAGTCAGTATTATTGTTAACCTATGATAAATCAAACAACAAGTGATGTTATTCTCTATTATTTTAGTGTAAAATGCATACGACTGGTTTGAAATCGATGAATCTATGTGTTTTCTAACATATAAGCTTCTAGCTAGGATATTTTTTAATAATAATAAGTATTTAATGATAAATATCAAGATTTCCCAACAATGAAAAGGCTTATAAGTTAGTTCAATTATAGAATTTGCAAACACAAGCAGTACTCAATCAGTTACGATCTCAGATTTACAAAACTAACTAGCTTTATAGCTTTGCTCGTAACATATCAACAGCTGTTTATTTTTACACATGTGTTTGCTTGATATTTTGTCACAAAGTAACGCTAGTCGACTTTCTCGTATTTTTTACTTTTATTATCAGTCCATAAATAACAGAAAGTCTCAATTTTGACACTGATTTATCACTGGGCAGCGATTAATATTGTATTTGTCTAGCCCTTAGAGGCGATCGGATTCTATCGATCAAGTTGTTCTTTGATTGATATAATGGGGCTTGCTAGTCAGTGATAATTACTTTAATCAGTCGCAGCCAAAATAGCTCAACATCTCGGACTGTCGCTCTGGATATCGTGGGTTATTATACTCAAAAGCGCATCAATTCTTTCAAGACTACAGACACACCTTATTGATGAGTACCAACTATCACTGAATCTAGGTCCAACCACCTAATAGGTAAAGCTTTTTGATATACTTCTCAGTGAAATTCAGCTTTTTATCAAATACTAACCAACGATAAAATTTGTATGAAATTAATTTTGCGATCTCCTGATCTTATTTTATACTCATAATTACTATACAAATATCTTTTAATTTTAGATTCTACTTCCATAAAATTTTCTCCGAATTCCATTGACTATAATTCTATCTCACAGAATGAGGACAGGTCAAGTAACATTGGTAAGTTAATCAATTATATACTGTTGTCATTGTATAATGTCATATATTTGCTGTAATTTTGTCACTATAATGCATATTCCTTTTAAGTAATTTCATTTATTTCAACAATATTACAGTATGAGTTTATGAAAAATATCCAACACACGAAATTCCTATATTGTCATACATTTATACAGTTCTGTGAATAATAACGAACTCAAGACTAAATAGTTTGTTGTTAATCCGAAAGAAAAGTTATGGTAAACATACATTATACATAATGAGGTATAAATATGTAAACACAACTTTTTGTTGTTAGGCACAGTGAATCGAAATCAAAACTTCATATCAATACGTTTGTATTAATTAGAAGGATGAGTTCATAATAATTATTCCCTTGAATATTGGGGGGGGGTATAGATTTATTACATGAGAAGCCACATGTACTAATAATAGTATTTCATTACAAATTATTAACGTTAGTCAATTAATAAACTTTTAATAATGGATAAACATCTATTTTAACATAAAATACTTTGTTTTTGAGGATCATATCCATAATCTTACATGATTGCACGTCAATTTCTTTTTTCTTTTAATTATTCTATGTCTCTCGTTTCAATTGAAGACAAATTCAAAACTCATTTAGTAATCCTAAATTATTTTCCTGTATATTTTGTAATCTACATACATATTAAAGTTTTTTAACTAACCTAACATATAAATATATATCATTTTGACCAATCCTACAGACATTTGACCTCAATACTAACAGTATTAAATTAAGTTGTCATTTACCTCATAGAATAGCAAATATTTTCTACATTTCTAAAATATACAAAACACAAACATAAACATTAATGAATACCTATTCACTTTACGTTGGATACATGGAAAAAAATGGAATGAAGGAAAAAAAACAAACAAATACCATAAATTCCTCTAATGTGAATCATCTCAATATAAATGCAAATTATTGATTAGTTGCCTTATGAAACCAATGTACATACTTGTTTTCATACAAGTTATATGTAAAATAGAAATTACTTTTATCTTACAAAGATACTCACTTGGTATTGTTTGGCTTGTATCTTCCCATTGAGGTTTAAAACTGTAATTGATCAGTCTGTTATTGGCATATGTGCATACTGTGCGTATGCCTCAATATTACCTTAATTCACAAGCTATTTATAAGCAATGATGGATAGTGGCTAGCAGTGGAATCTAGGACGAAAAGCACGTCCTGCATTCCACTGCTAGCCACTATCCATCATTGCTTACAAAGATACTTTATAATTCACATTTTATTATATTTCAAACTTTCATTTATTCTATAAATGAATAGATTAGAAAGAAACTGATTTTGTTTTTTTGTTTTGTTCATTTTTCATTACTTCACTATACAACTATGTATAATATTTATAAACAAATTTATGCTTTTATTTATATTTTTTAAAGTAATATAGTTGATCATGAGATTATAGTTAGATTGTGTCATCGTTGTATAAAAGAAGTGAGATAACATATTTCCATCTTTTTAATAAACATACTAATTTATGTTTCTCTAAGAGATCAAATCAATATAATTTGTTTCATTTTTGTATTGATTGGTTGAATCTTCCTATTGATGTTCCGGATTGCAAATGATCAGTCTCTTATTGGCATATATAGGCATCTTGCACAGATTGCCATGATATTGCCTTAAATCACAAGCATTATAAATATTACAAGCTAGTGCTTATCTAGACTCAGTAATTAAGTGAATAGTGTGGTGGGGTCTGAAGCGAACGGTAACGGGTTCGAGTCATGGATGGAACATAACCTCTGGGAGGCAGATACATCTAGAATATTAAAGATTCCCATTGTGAAAATTAGAACAACACATATAAGCGAACAATTGTTTTCAATTAGATCGTCATCAGGCTTTACTCTAATATACATGAATATTTATACGAAAATGTTAAACCAATCAAGGCAATATGAGTCAATAATCACAATGAAATAGAATAAGTCACTACACATAATAGGTAAAAGTACAAGTTGATAGTACGAAGACAGGTGAACAGATAGTGGTAAGAATAATAAACTACAATAACAAAGCTCTTATCAATAGTTAATGGTTGGAAATAGAAGGTCTTGTTTTGTGATTACTATTCCTAGTCTATTTACCCATGTTTATTTGACCTTCTATTTCCAACCATTAACTATTGATAAGAGCTTTGTTATTGTAGTTTATTATTCTTACCACTATCTGTTCACCTGTCTTCGTACTATCAACTTGTACTTTTACCTATTATGTGTAGTGACTTATTCTATTTCATTGTGATTATTGACTCATATTGCCTTGATTGGTTTAACATTTTCGTATAAATATTCATGTATATTAGAGTAAAGCCAGATACATCTAGCTCACAAATCTTGAATAGGACGAAACACACATTCTGAAATTTACTGCTAGTCACCAACCATCTCCGCTTACAACGTAATATGTGTTTAGTTTGTTATTTTGTACCATATAAACATATACAGTAATAGTTCTCAAAAATAAATAACTCAGTTGTATAACTACATGAATTGTTGAATATAGTTATTTAGATCGTATCTGAATCCCATGAAAACTAGTAACAAAGATTAGGCTTATAGGAATAGTCATTCTGATCGATTCTGATAAGCAGTCTGTTGATTATTTATCTGGAAACATTTTAACGTATAATTAAATAATTCTTTCAAAATATCCAATTATTTTAGCTAGAATTTTAAAGGTCTGGAAATTCTGTAGAAGTTAACTAACCAAACAGGAATTTCAAAATTGAACTATGAGTATTTACCAAGATGAAATACCAATTTCTACTTGGTTAATTCATTAAATGTTATTCCTTTAGATATAGTAAAACAAGTCTATAAATATGTATATATAAATACAATGAATATTTAGTGTTATTGTTGTATCTGTTATGACTGAATACCCTTTCACTTTTGTGAAAGCAAATCCCTTTGTAGCAATATGCGGAGATATGTAAATAATTTTTTCGTTTTATAAAAGCACTCAGGAAAAAACAACAAATGATTAATTTATGTAGGAATTTACATTCAGCATTAAAACAGGAAAGGTGTATTACACAAGTTAATCACTTTCACTTCGTTTCAGTAGTTGAGATCATGAGTCAGTTGAACCTAGACCACCATGGAAAATCTGGAACCACTCCAAGGCCGTTTCGTCCTAGTATGGAACTCTTCAGCAGTGCGCATCCACGACCCCGCCCCCCACGAGATTCTAACCCAGGGCCTCTCAGCCTCGCGCGCGAGCGTTTAACCACTAGACCACTGAGCCGGCATCCAGCAGTGGTAATGTAAAACTTCAACTAATCCACGAAATTGAGCGACACATCCACCATTGTCATCAGTGAGTTACTATCTCACAACTGACCCGGTTGAACTCCACTGGTCACTACTTCTCACTAGGACCCCATGATATACCTGTTGAAGCCAGTCACTAGTGAGCATATTTTGATTAGTACCAGAAGGGGTTTTGTGGAGATTGTAGTAATTTCAATAGTTGAGATCACGAGTCATTTGATGCTACATCACTTCGTTTATTGATTTACAAAAAAATATGTGGAATTACTCACAAATATTTCACTTCAATTAAAATAGACTGGTTATAGGATTATCATTTGAACGAGGAGGTTTTCCATACGCCAAGGCGATTTGTCGCAAATATATACCCTATGATGATTATATGAAAAAAATAAGCCATTTCTGTTTTTATATCAAGATATTATTCTGATACAAATGTTTCAGATAACTGTCTTTTTTGTTTGGCTTTAATGCTTTTAGATCATGAACATTCTCCATCTATTGTTTATTCAATCTACCGAAAGTTATGGTAAGTAATCACTTAGTGAAACATTTATTCACGAAATATTTACTAACACAATGAATAAAATTTAAAATAATTTAACATACTATTGATAATGTGATATATATCTTGTAGATCACATAATTGCACTGAAAACTAAGACTTGATAAGTAAGTTTAATTGTCTGTTGCCATATTAAATATCACTCATAGGCTCATTGTTCATACTTAGCAGTTCATTGATATCAATGTAACAAAATTATAAGTAACATTACCTATTTCCATCATTTACAGCTTCTTTCATTCTATTATATAAAACACCGTTTACAAGTTCTATGTTAAGATGAAAAAAAGCTGTTTAATGATTTTTAATTTTCACTGGTATTGTTATGATGCCAATCTGTAATAGAAGTCATTTATGAATAATGAAGATTTATCTATTAATCATCTAGTTAATAATAAATGTAATTTCAAACAAACATTTTTTCCATACAAAGTAAATGCCAAATGATACTTTTAGTTTAATCATGAAAAGTACAAAAGATATTATCTATTTGGTTTTTTGCATAAATAATTACTTCATTAAATTCACTTAGTATTGTTTGCTTGTATCTTCTCATTGTTGTTTAGGACTTCAAATGTATGTGCATTCTGTACAGATTGCCTTGATATTGCCTTAAGTCACAATCTTTATAAGCATCAACTCTGGGATGCAAGTACATCCAGCTAACGAGTCCCAAATAGGACTCCATTGCTAGCCACTATCCAGTTACTTTAATTAGCTGTTGAGATAATCTTTTCTAATTCGTTCTCTTAGATTTCAAAATGTTTATAATAGAGTCCGTTTTATTTTGTTGAGTTAATACGGGCAATTCATTTGTCTATTTTTGTTATAGTTTTATCTAACCAAAATATTACAATTCCTAATGTGAAAGATCTTAGATTTTGTGCTGAAAGTATAATTTATGGACGACTTTTGAGCCACGCTAAAGTGGCGTACTGCCTATGGCTAAATGAGGGTTTTAAATCTCTGTGATTGTGATTTGCATTTGATGGTTAAGGTTAAGAATTAGATTTAGGGTTTTTATCACGAACTGATGGCAGCTAAAATGCGAAGATGCTATTTAGCCAAATGGATAAAAAATTCCGCACTGAAATCCAAGACCTGTTATCGTGAATATCAATGGTTCATTCGTGAATACACAAATAAATAAAAACTATTCCTTTATTGACACTAAACAGATGTACAAACAAGATTTTGATAGAAATATAAAGTATATTTCAGTTTAAAATCACTCCATCAAAATTAGCTAAAATTTTTAACTCTAGTCTACCGTCAAAATCTACTACTAAAATGTCAAGTTTGTAGTTTTAAAAAACTGACTATTTCGGCGTCATGTACAAAAATAGATTAAACTAGTTATAAAACTTTTAAGTTGCTAGGGAAATTGTTGAATCACTTTTTTGTCTACAACAATCATCTGATGTTCGATTTGAGAATTAGTAGTTGGGATTAACATTGATTCTTTCAATATATGCATTTTGAAGAGGAATAACACAATGTTACTTGACTACAGATATGTAATCTATTGACTTAACTATTATACACCAATCCATGTACTATAGTTGTTAATTGTTTCGATAAAAATTCATTTATAGCTGTTTTAGAAGGTAAACAAATTGTGAAGAAAGTTTATTCAAAACGCCAACCAATAGTACTAACAGCTGCAGCTGGTTTTATGTCACGTACAGACAGTATTGACACAATGAATAATAGTAATGTTAATCGTAGTATATTTAATAATGGGAATGGTTTCTCTACTATTCATCATGTTCCCAAGAACTCAAGTGGTGCATACATCCCACCAAATTTTATTACTGGAGCACATTTAGCGCCTGCACACTCTATATTCTCAGATATTAATAAAGAAAACTATACAAAATGGTCATTTTCTACTACATTTAATCCATCAACTACATCTCAGTTAAATGAAGAAGTCCACGAAGATACACTAACAGATTTTCCGTTGTACAAGCAACAAAATCAAACTGAGGAAGAGATTCATTCATTTGGTGGGGGGAATCAACGACAAATTATGGAAGATGATAATGAATTGCCACAAATTCATTCAGACTACCTTTATGATGCAGATTATGATTTACCGGAAGAAATGAATAAATATCAAGGTAATGAATAATAAACAGCTATATATATTAATTTTCTAAGTTGATTGACAAACCTATCACTTATTAGTGTCTGATTTCTAAATGAATATTCAGGGATTCCGTAAATTAAGTATCGTGAAGTAAGAATGAACAACATCTAATTTTATGCCTCTTTATGACATGTAAAGAACAGTAAATATCTTGGTGAATATGTTTTGTTCAGGTAATTTAGATTTAACACAATTATTATATGACCGATGTTTCTTTGATTTTGATATACCATTAGGTAGTGAGTGTAGAGCTTTAAAATGGTAAAAGAGATCTGTTTATTTTCAAATACCTGATCATATGAAGCAAATATAATTACCAACTATAAGTGCTAAGAATGATTGGATATCTCAGTTGCTCTGTTCATCATGTAAATTTATGACTATTTTGAAACTCTTCATCAATACCTAAGTTGAATTCATATGGATTTTCTAATTAAAATGATAATATAATATTCTAACTATCTGAAATTTGCATAAGTTTTATACTAATGGCTTTTACAAATACCCATATAACCTCTTCACAAATACACCAATTTTTCTTTATTGATGAGTTAGTTTAGTAGGAAATGCATAAATTTTGGATTTTTTTTATTAATTTCAAAGAAATTTCACAATAGTTTGTCTAATTTTCTTATTAACATTCTATTGCCTTTGTAGAACCATGCTTAAGTTACTTTGATAACTACTTTAACATTAGCTCTCATAGTCAGAATGACATTTTGGACATGGAACATAATTTCTGGAGCTATAAATAATCTGTGTACAATTCATAAAACATATAACTTTTCGTTTCACTTATTACCTAAGTACTTTTAATATAGTGGTAAAAAATACGAGATTGAGTAGTTAAATGATTAACCACATACAACTATTGCTTTTATTAATAATCAAATAATTTGTGTTACACCGGAGTGTCTCTATTTTCGTATGTACAAACTGTATGGATATAGTGAAATCTAAGGGCTGCATTTTGAATTTATCCAAAAACTATCAGTTCAACTAATCTATCTACATTTCAGTGTGAATAGCTTGGTGAATCTAACATATGGACATATATAGGTGAATTACAATGCTAAATTATTAAATACTTTAGCTTGTAATGTGTAAATGAATCATCTGTATAAACACTGGAACCCAATCTTCTTATACAATAGGGATAATTAAAAATTTTGAAATATAAAGGAAACTACTGCTTTACAAGTTAGTACTACAATTATAATAGTATCACGAAAGTTAAAAATCTACTTAGCATATTTTAAAATACAAACGAGCTCTAACGTTAGTAACATCATGATGAACCATCATACTACAATTAATAACATACAGACAGAAACGACAAAACTTGTTTTTTGATTTCCATTATTCGTAAAACTATATTTGAATAAAAACCATAAAACTATAATAATATAGAAATAATCGTATAAATGAGTTTTATGCGACTTCATGTATGACTAAAAAAGAAAATCCTATTCAAACATTTTAATACTTATGTCTAATATAATGCTGATATCCATGACCTAAATGCTAAAACAGATGGATTATTTAATTAATAGATATTTACCTGAATTAATTTCGACCATAAAAATCAATCCTAGGTCATAATTATCTTAGTAGATGCTTGTTATCGTTATTATTTGACACGCCCAAAAACCGAAGATCAATATGTTGAAACTTTTTCTTAAGAAGAGTGTTCAGTGTTTTTTTTACCGTCATTTGACATCATCTAACTGAATAAGACTATCTCTTCTCCTTAGCCACCTACTAAAATTTTATTTCAGTGCTTTAGTCAGGCTTTAAGTTAAAAAAAATTTCATGACTGCTAAGCAACAGTGTTACTAATTTTTCTACACTTTTGCTAGTTGTAATATCATCAGATATGGATCCTCCGTATTCTATGGACCAACCAAATGGGGCTGCTATCAACTCGTCTAGATTTTCATGGTCATATAATAAAGATTATGATCAACCCATGGAGAATAAAGTGCAATTTAAGCAGAATATCTATCTAGATGATCAACAAAAGAAAGAAGAAGCACGTCCAGTCTATCATTCACCAGTTCGCTGGGCAATAAGATCAATAGCTACAAATGGACAACCAAGTCACATTGCTTGTAGTCAACCTTTAGATAGAGGAGTTGGTTCTAATGAATTGTCTTCTTGGTACTATGATTCGAATGATGGGAGATGTCGCTGGTTTGGATATCGTGGATATGGTGGGAATGCTAATAGATTTTACAGCCGCACAGCTTGCGAAGAATTATGCGTTCGAGATAATCACAATTTATGTGAGGTATGTAAAATTGTGCAGCATTTTGACTTCAGTTAACCTTATGATATAATTTTTAAAATGGTGGCACCATTCACATCTTCTTTACAAGGCATACCAAGTGAGGACCAGACCTGCACAAACGGTGCAAAATGTCATGATTTTTCTAATCATTTATAAACATATCATTAAAATCACTTCTAGCCATAAACTACCAAAAAATTTTCTGATGATTAGCCCATTTATACCCACTCTTCTAATAAACAAGAGAATAAATCACATGTATCATCTTAATTGTTGTATGATTATAAACTCTGATAATTTATTCATCCTTATTCATAGTTATCAATCTGATGTTTGTAAGGTTAGCATTTATTATCACGGACCCTAACTAAGTGATGTATAGTCAAACTATTGTTTCTATGCCAGCTATATTTTATTTTGGTGCTGTTATGCACCGTAACTTTTATAGTTTATTATGTCTATTTGTTCAAAAGCACTGAAGAGAGTTACTTGAAACGAGTAGATTTTATTTTCAAAGCTAGATTCACGAGTCAATCTGAGCTGGACGGCTGGACGACTGTTTCGTCCTTGTATTGGACTCCTCAGCAGTGTTTAGATTGACTCGTGAATTCAACTATAAAATTACTACAATCTCCACAAATCCCTAAAATAGACTCTACTTTGGCAAATCTGTTATGATTTGCTAACCTCTTCGTACAAAATTCCCACATATCTTTGCCAATAATTAAACTTCATATAGATATAGTCTGTAAGATTGTATAATACAATTTAATAATGAAACCTTGAACCTCAATGATGGAATGAAAATAATTTTGTTTATTTAGCCTACCCACTAAACATTCCATCATACAAACGTTAAATAGGAAAATTGATATGCCAATGACTAATATATTTTTGTTGTCAGTATAAATTATGCATAAATTATTGCACTGAATCAATATGAACTAGTTGATTTTCTTAATATTCAATGAATAGAGACCGTGTATACTGGTACATTATTTTAAACAATCCCTATTTATTCTATCATACAGATAGTCGTTTTATTTTTACTTATAAATTATCTTCGAGTTTCACAAATCGACAAATGTCCAGTCAGTACTTCTAGAGGTTGTCCAATACATATTTTATCATGTAGTTATTTATTATTTAGTGGGGCCTACATCTGACTCCAATTAGATTGTACGAATGATTGTTATCAAAATATATATCCTGACTATTCTCTTATATAATTATAGATTTCAATCGGGTTGGTGAATAACGGAATTAAATAAGTCGAATACGATAATGGATTTTTGAATACATATATTTTATACACTCACTAATAAGTGAATAATTAACAAGGTCAAAACGTGACTCAGCAAGAGTGGATAAATTGACCCATTCAGAAGCTAGAATAAGGTATATGGACTTAACATAGCAACTGACACTACATTCATAACCATAGAGTTTACCCAAACAATCTATCTATTTTAAGTTCATTTTATTTGATGACTCTACAGTTCGTAATTCACATCATAAAATCAGTGAGTTCAAAAATGAAGTTTTACATTTGTGAATGAGATTAAATAATCCGAAATTCATTTTCATTCTAGTATAATATCTAGCACAAACCAAATGAGATTAATAATGTATTAGTTATGCATTTTCCTTGTATTCAGTACTGTTGTAATTGACTGTTCATGATTCTGAATGAGGTGAAATTCAAAATATCATATTACCTCAGTGTGACTGTCATACAATTCAGCTATCCAATGGAAGTTTAATACTAAAACCGATCTAACTTCAAATAGTTAAAGTTCTAAAGTTATAACATGGTTGAAATATTGATTCCACTTGTTTTTAGCTGTAATATTCCGATCATTAAAATGGTAGTATTTATAAAACGTGATTTTCCCTTCAGATTACAAGTCTTTCTAGAACAAATATATGACAATAACAATTGTGTTGATTTTATGATTAAGTAAAAAGAACAAAAATAGTTTCTTTTATTATTCCCCCCTCCACCATGATACTACAACATTTATAAAACATACTAAACTGAAGTTAAGTGGAAAATAATTTCGTAGCTAACCAAGCAGATTTTAAGTCTATTCATTCGATAAGAACAAAAAGTAAGTGCTTTACGTTAAGTATACTCTCTTTTTTCATAGTTAATTAGAATACTCATAGATGAGCTAACCGTTTATTTATATTTTACCAATATTATATATTTACATGTTACTTATGTAATATAAAATATTTATTTTGATCTCAGTTTGCCAAATGTCCAAAATCAATCACAACCTGTGAACTTGTTGGTGATCAATCATGCAAAGTTTACAAACAACAACATTCTAAATCATGGGAAGCTGAATGTCCACCGGATCAACCAGTATGTGTTACTAAACGAAATACGAGAATGGCACCAGGTATAGTGATGTTTATTTCTTCAATTCATAATAGTATTTGATGGATTATTTGAATTTGCTTAGTTTATAACAGTCTCTGACGTATTCGTAAAGAAATAAAAATTAATATGGAATTTATGACTTTCTTAAAAGGGTTATTATTTTAATTTAATAAACCCATTGAAGTGTAAAGTAAATTATAAAAGATAATTATGCATAAATAATGCTGCTAGTAACTTCACATTATGTTCAGTGAAACTGTCACGTAAACTCTTCACTACTTAGGTCATATTTAATCTCTTGTTAAACAGTATGGTGAGATACGATCTTGATTTCATAACACACTGAGTTCTCTCAATTGAACTTGCCAATTAAACTCAAGTTCCACTACGCCCCAATTTAGTGTAAGCATATATGAGGATCTTATCTTGATGAAATAATAGTAATCACTAGAAAGCCTATTTATAAGTTAGGTTTCGTGCTCAATGACTATCATCAAAAAGGAACATCCTCATTACTTAAGGCAGCTAATGTTTCCTATAGGACCTGAAGCCATGCGATTCAGTGACATAGTCAGAAATGTTGCCTGTGAGTTCACCAATGTAACGTTGTAGGACTTTGTTTTTACAATGAGTGATCAATTAGTTTAGTAGTGAGAATTTGCTTTTAATTGTTTTGGCTTTACTAATTAAAAAGTGTTACTCAACTCCATGCTCTTCCATAGTTAACAGGGATATTATTTTCATTTTAACTCTGCTGAATTTTTCCTAATAGAAATCCTGTTTTGCACAATTTTATTAATAACCGATTACGTAATTTTAGAGATTGAACATTTATGATTATGAGCTGAAAGTTAAGTGTTCTCCCCAAGACTTGAACGTTCTAGGTTTGATCTTCAGTGTGGTCATGAATGTGTACATCTGAGAAGTACCATTTTCGTATGAAATAGCTGCTCTGTACTTCCTGATTTTTAGTAATTGTTTATCTCTAGTCGATTCATGATGTAAAAATGTAGTGAACAAAACACGGGTTGGGACAATCGAATGTATTTAACACAAAATTACAAAACTTGTTAATGAAATCTAACAATCATAATGTAAATGCTTAATTTGCAAAATGTCCACCAATTGTCTTAAAATGATTCAGACTTAATTGTTCCTGGATTTTCATACAAAACGCATCCTGTTTCCATTCTTTACTGTTCGATCCTCTTGCCTCTCTGCTACCAGACCCTCTGTTCACGACTAACATCATCTACTACTTATGTCAATATAAGGAGCACACACCACAAAACTATCAACATATGACCCTATTTAGATAACAAAATGATTTTATCGTCATAAATTACAGACTTTCATTAAGAGCTCATTGATACATACTGCTTTTTGCTTAACATTTTTTTAAAAACTCGTTTTTTTTTCATTTCTTCCTTAGATATTGAATTTGAAAATGTTCCATCTGAGTGTAAACAACCACCTGATGCAGGATCATGTCAAATAAAAAATCCATCACAAAATTTTTTCTATGATCTAGAAAATAATGATTGTACATCATTTTATTTTCATGAATGTGGTGGAAATGATAATCGATTTGTTACAAAATCTGAATGTATGAGTCATTGTTCACCTTGAATGAAATAAATTTTCAATATCATCTTTGTTTTACATTATCATCTTTTCTTTAACATTATAATAATCATTCTTATCAACCATGAAAGCAAAAAAACAAAACATAATCAATTTCATTCACATTTTTCACCTTCTCATAGTAGTTATCAACAGAAATGGTATCAGTTTCACTTTTGATTATTATTATTATTATTATTACTATTATTATTAATGCTATCATCCAAAGAAATCTCATTTTCATGAATAGCCATACTAGTAATATATATATACATAAATACTAGTAATTACATATATTTTTGAGAATAAACAAACAAACAGCATTAACATAATTTCTAATAGTAAATGGATAGTGATAACATTTTCTGATTGTTCTTCTTCTCTGTCGTCGTCGTCGTCGTCTTCAATAAATTGCTTGAATTGATTGGTTTTAATTAATTGTAATAATTACTTAACTGAACCAAACGATTATCATAGTGATGATTGTTTCGTTTTTCTTATGCTTACATAAACATTATTAATACTATACATATATATGTATTCATACTTTTCAATCCTTTTTCTCTGTCCTATTAAAATGTTAAGGAGAATTAAAAAGTGAATTTTTTGGGAGAAAAACGATTTTAAAACGTTTTATTTTTTGTAAGTTGGTTACAAACTATATTCATTATTGACTCCATATATGAATTGATATAGATAAACAAACTACTGTAGCCCATAGAGTACTAAATGTATATATCATCACTGTTTGAAACATCTTAATAGTATTCATTCAAAAGCCCAAATGGGATAAATCCAAACATTCTTCAAACTTTTAGTAAGCAAGATAACCTTGAAACATTATGACAGAATCTAATGGTCTATACTTCATAAGATATTTGAGTAAGTAATAGTCCTATGTTCGTCAGTAAATAGATTTAAGATGGGTTCACTTTTTAGCGGTGAACTATGACAAAGTCAACCAAATCAATAGTGAGATATTAATTTATTAACAACACTGATTGATTGGATTTGTAAACAGTGACTGGTGGACTCCGGTTTATTGATTTGCAACTAAAGCCCTTAGCCATGAGTTCTGAATGTTATGCTTTTAATCCTAATGGCCATTGTCAACCCATATTCCTGATGAGTCTTCGTCTAAGTGATAACAACTACAGATCCATCATTTTTGATTGTCCTCTAAATGGTCTTATTTTTCAAGACAAATATTCTTTAACTTACACAAATTTTTCCGCTAAATATCTAAGTAAATAACAAAATGAGAAACTTTTTTGACATGATGAATATTTATCTAGTACGTAAAATAACTTTAAAAATACTCTACAACTTTAAACGATCATTCTTATGTTTCGCCCTTATCACTAGGTGCATATACCAGTAATTTAAGTCTTACTTCGAGTTAATTTGAAGGCATGTTTAGCCAGATCAACTTTTTGTGCGTTCAATCATGTTTTCAACTATTCAAATTTCTAAAAATCTCCACAAAACCCCTTCTAATAATAATCATCTGCTCACTAGTGACTGACTTCAAGAGGCATTTCCTGGAGTTCTAGTAAGAAGCCGTTACCAGTGGAGTTCAGCCAGGTCTGTTGTGAGATATCAACTCACTGAAGACAATAGTGTACGGTAGTGCAATTTCGTGGATTGGTTGAAGTTAGACATTAACACCTTTGGATGCCAGTCAGCTCAGTGGTCTGATGGTTAAGCTCTCGCGCGCAAGACTGATAGGTCCTGGGTTCGAATCTCGCTGGGGGTGGGGTCATGGATACGATGATTTTGTCAAGTTTCCACTTCCTAAACCCTTAAAAGATATTAGCAAACTGTACCATGTTGTTTAGTATTTGAATTTCAATATTCGATCCTGCCTTATGTTTGGAGTTACTTTACAGCTAAACAACAAACAAGCTGACCAATCACAATAATATTTTTCGAATGAAATTAAAAGTTCTGATAATAAAACTATTATTGGCACTATTCAATATATTTTCATCAACAAACCTAGAAATTTTATTATGAATTTCTTAAGGTCATATGCAAAAATGATAAAAGGGCAAAGCCATTTCGTTGTTTATGTTAATGTTTTCTAAATATTATTATCATGATACAAGTATTTGAATTAATGTACAATTACTTATATCAGAGTAAACAAGGATAAACATTTTAACATGTTTTAAGTTATACATAAAAGAATAAAGATAATGATCCAAATTGTGTCAAACACGTGACTCGTAATATTAATCACATAAACATGAAATAACCTTTACAAAAAATATCTAGAAAACATCATATCTACACCTATACCAGCTTCTCAGCTCATAGATCAGAATGCTCTTAAAATTGGTCAGTATAACACAGTCAACTAACAAAGTAATTGATAAAAGTTAACAAACATTCGAAGATTTGGTTGATCATATCTCATGTAACCCATGAAGAATGTTTACTAATTTAGGACTTAATGTTCATTACGTACAAAACTCTTATGATTTATTAGCGAAATGGCTTTAATAATTATTATTATTATGGTTAGGATCTCTATACATTACTGTTTACAGAAAGCGATAAACACTTGTCTAAGATCTATTAGCTTTATTGAAAATGTATAATTTCAAACTAATTATCTAAATATTGCTTCCTAAGATAATATCTTTTCTTACTATTAATAATGAACTATTTAGTAGTCATATGTAAATGATAAACTCTATAAAAAGATCTGTATAAAGTTTGATAAAAAATCTTATTTATTTCTGTTCAAATGAAATGCATTAACCTATTTAAAGGTGGATTATCACAGTCTGTAAACTGTAAACCTTGTATTTTGAACGACATGATATTTAAAATATGATACTAATGAATTTCTATATTACAAATGTTTAGTTGTTAGCTATAAGACAAAACCTATTTCACCTAACATACATTTTCTTCTAGAAACTTCCTACTTATAGCATTTTATAGTAAATTCTATTCATAAGCAATAAAATTCAAGGGTAATGTGAGGAGTGAATGTAATACAATTTTATCTAAACAACAAATAATATGCAGTACAGATATCATCATAACAAATAACAGTGTAATAGAGAGACTTAATATCCTAATAAGGTCAAACAATAAAACGAAAATTTGACTACGTCAAAGAAAATGTTACACCATGTTAATAGGGTATGAAAACTATTCGAATAACATTTATACGTATACGCAATCTGTATTTAAAATTAGCGCAATACAAAATTTGTTATACCTCATTTTATTAAAACAATAGTGAAATGTGATAGAGTACTATCTACAACTTATTATACAGTAAAAATTTGAAAATAAGAGGATATGCTTGATAAAAGCGAATAATGGTTTTTTTTTCAATCACACAAAATTCAGAGATGGATAGGCATAATTCAATATTAAATATTATGTTTCATTTAAGGCAACAATTCTAACGATCCACCTAAATGAGCATGACAGTATTTTGGATTATCTCTTAATTTTGAGATAAAATAACGTGGTGCTGAACAAGATTGACGAGTTCTATTACTTGATCGTGTACGCTCGTTAATTTTATATCGACAACACGGTCTTCCAGTATGTTCAGATGTGCTAAAATCACTGTTGGCATTAACCTGACAAAGTGGGCATTCTTGACCGTATGGATCAATATGTGTATGATTCACTCGATGCTCTAGTTGTGTTGGAGCTGAATAATCTCTTCTACGATTATTTGGTTTCGAAATTTCGGAATTAGTGATACGTTTTTGTTGATATTGTGAATGGTTATTATAGTAGTAATCCATTGCTTCAATACCAAGCTTCATTTGGATTATCTTTGATCGGTGCTTTTCACATAGATTAGAATGAACTGGATAATATTTTAAATTGCATTGTGGACACACAACATTCATAGATGGTTCTGATGTAGATGGATAATTTAATCGTTGTAACAGGTCAATATGTGATCTAGTTGCTCTCTCTGATAATAAAGGAGATTCTTTACACTTTAGATTATGCTGACAACATTCACAATGTTTCTGTTCTGTAACATTTAAATAGTTTGCTTGAGAATTCTCGTACTTATTTGTATTTAATTTATCATTCAGCTTTTTTGATTGATAATGAATTACCCCACTCTTAATCGGTTTTAAAGCATCACATTTACACAATGTTCTCGGTAAAATATTTGTCTCTGGAGATGATTTTCGCAATTCCGAAAAGCAACGTAAAACATTTAAACCGATTTGTATGTTTTCCGCTAGAAATACATAACAAGTTAAACAATTCTCACCGTTCGCTGATAAACGAGGGACCATAAAATAAATCAATGGCGGACGTAATACTGTGCGATAACGTAATAACCAACTTGTTATTTGATTATCTAACTTGATCAATGCATCCTCAGGGATACAACGACGTGTATCGATTATTCGACGAAAATAAGCGTAACAGTGATCACGATTCTTATTATTGTTACCAGTGTGAGCACTATTATGACTAATATTACTCCCAACAGGTGTTACGACTTCAAAGTAATAACAGTTAAAATAGATCAATTGATACGCCGAAAAATCTTCATCCATTTGTGATGATAACGACGATAATACTGACGAATTTTTCGATTTGTCATCCTTTTTTTTATTTCCTTTGTAATCTAATGATTTGATAAGAATATGACCATTTCCAATGGCTAATATTACACTGTCATAATTTTCTGTCATTACTGTTTTATAAGATAAAACAGGTTTGTGATTATTTGGTGATACAGATGATGCAGTCAGTTTTGAAGACGATATTTGTCGAAGAAATTTCAAATAATAATCAATCAATAATTCATAAATTGTTTCCAGTTCACAATCATTAGATTTTTGAATAGTAGAATGTCCAAGATAACTTAAGGTAAATACTGACATTGACGAAGATGTCATTATAATATTGATTCTTAATAATTCTGTGATAAATTTAGAAAACTCAAAATCTGAAAGTGAATTAGTGTTTATAATCCTTTGACCAGCTATAGTCCTTTATTTACTTATTAGATGTGATATTTGTAAGAGATTTAGCTTATTTGCATAATCATATTGGTTGACTAAACATTTTATGTACACAATTAACACATAACATTTCGCATTAACAATTATAGTAATCACAATATAGATGATGTTAAAATATTTAGAATGTCATTGGTGGATAGTTGTTACGTTATTCAGATGAGATAGATCATGAGGCAATGCTATGAGTGTAATCTTTATAAAGTCATTTTACGACTAACCAAATAGGAGGAAAGCATAACTAATTCTAATAATTGAAGGGTTTTCATAAGTCCGAATCATACTACCTAGGGTGCTGGCTCAATTCTAATTCTAATATTGTAGAATAAAAAGAAATATGAAGATATTAAATAGACAATCTTAATATGAAACTCTAAATAACTCTTATAAATAATTTAACTGTGGATGGTTTATAATCCCATCGTAGATAAGTTTATATATGATAAATTGACAGTAGTTTCAAACCAAATTATTGCGTTCCTCTGACAACTGTGTTACAGTGTTGAGACTACTAGTTTTGTTTGCTTGTGCTAAGGTCCTTTTCTCCGGTTCATACACCTCCATTTTGATTACATTTATTCGTGTCAAACCCTCTTCACTTATGTATACATATATAGTGGTTGGTTCAGCCATGATAGAGAGTGTAGTGGAATATCTTCGAGATAATTTTCAAGTTTTCCTATATCACACATCCAGATAACTGTCACTACATAACTCCCAACGGTACACAAATTCCAAAAAACAATACGAAGCATTTATCATGGTTTATTAGTGTACAGCATATATGACAAGTTCACATGCACACAATGCGGATGCACGTAAATCCTAGTGAATCAAAGCGAATATTTATATATAGGGAAGCGAATGAATCAGAGAGGGATTTAATCAAGTAACATTTAATCTAGAAAGAGGAATACGTGTATAAGCCATAGCTCGTGATCACGCACGCTCACTCAGATATGATAATAATAGCAATACGACGATACAGACAAATAGCAATTTTTGAACGACACTGTCTTTTAGGTAAGTTAATTGAAGGGCTTGATGAAATTAAGTGTATACAGACTCAAGTATGAGTGAAGTGCCATAAGAGCATAGTAAAAAGTCATCAATATCATTCGTTAATCCTATTAATTCTCATACTTACTGATATAACTACCATGTGCTGGAAAAACTGTCAACGAAGCGCGCAATTATTTTAATAAGGTTGTATCCTGGGAAAATGCTTGTGCATTTTCTGTCCCAGTAGTTGTTTTAGGAGTTGAACAAACTGTGTACTCAGTCTTCAATACTAGCAATCAGCCTTACAAAGACGGCAATTGTCTTTTGAAAATATTCAGTCTTGAGGTAGTTCATTTTCTCGAAAGAATACTGATAACCGTAAACAATATTTGCACTCAGAAACGGCCATTTACTTACAAAAGACCTTACCATGATTTAACCATTAACACTGGGATTACCAAATATTTTAGTTAGGTTCGAAATTTGAAATCAATAGATTCTAGTCTTCAAAAGACCACAATAATTCCTTTATAACTAACATTAGTGGACACAGAGCGATAGAGACTTTATATCGCTACTGTAAGAAACGTTTATTGTTTCGGACAGGTAATCAACTATATGTTTCTTGTATTTCTAAAATAACTATTATCTTACAGTTAGCTGCTCAACTTTGGAGCGACTTAATACGTCATATTCTTATCGCTATTGGACAGAACATTATTCCTGAGTTGGCGGGAAAGATCATCCATTTTGACGTATAATCAATTCACATTCTTAGCGTTTGTAGTGGTAAATAAATCCCTAAAACTAATATCTCTGAAAGTCTTCAACATTTGATACTGACCGCATTGGTTTTAATGGACTCACGTAGCTGAAGGCGCTCAGTCACGCATCCACACCAGATCACGATTGTGTACGCCGTGCTTCACATCTCCTGCAGCCGCTAGAGAGCTCGGAATAATCATTTCTCGACATATCTATTTTCTATCTAATATATCTTCGAACCTCATCGCTTCTGACTTTTAATTCCACTGGGTTGGCACGTCTCGATTATAAAAGTTGTTACTGGTTAAGGTTTTGTCAAACTCCAAACACTTGTAGCATCTTTACATTTCAATAATCTGATGTCCCTAAGTTGATCATTTAATTGTTTTTACTATAAATGTCTGCATCCACCGGCGAAAGTACTGTTCAAGTATATCATCTTTACTTTTAGCCTACACTCAATTTATTAGTATCACATCCATCTTATCTCTATGAGCTTTTATACGTTCATGTACTAAACTCATCACCCATTATCGATTTTTGCTATCCTTGAAGTACGTCACTAAGTCATCTTAAAGTGCCCGTATATTGAGATTCATGATGTTTTGGATTTTTTGAGATACTTAAAGTCCCTAACTACTAATTATCGGTTGTACCGTTTTTAACATCGCTAAAAGTCATGGATCTCCACTTTTCTGACTCAATGACGTGGGTTTATTTGTAGGAATAGGATGTTCCACCACACCCATCACATGCACGGAAAACATATGTTTTAACGTATTTGACGTCCTACTGTTATTGAGTTCTAGATTCAGTTATCTGACTGTTTTCTCTTTATGTTTGATCAATGCTTAATGTCGTTAGATTTTTTTCAGGAAAAATTTTAAATAAATTCTACCTCCTTACTTAAAAGCTGGTTTACGTTTCTTCTTGTTCTTTTTTAATCCCCACTTTCTCACTTATTCATTTAGTGGACGAAGCACCAAAAACCTAGATGCCAACTTATATATCGGTGAACATTACAAAATCGTGAACTTCAGATACGTCTTGGAACGGAATGGCTGGATGATGTTCTCACACTTGCTTCTTGGTCTGAACACTATGGAAACAGTACAAACGTGTATTACCATTCCAACATTTTAATGTCTCAAAGACTGTCTGGAAGCAAAAATGAACGAAATGCAGTAAAAATAAAAACCGTTAAGGTCTAGGTCTATCTACTCCGTATCCTAAACAATGTTGTCCTTATCAGTGGTTCGAGTTTAATACGGGAAGCTTCACAAACAACATCGTATATATCCGTGATTTATTAAAGTTCTTAGTCCAACTGCCGTCTATGACACAATCCTGTGAAAACAAATACAAGGGTTATTAAGAGAGTTTTCTATATGTGGACCTCCTAGGGATAAAAAAGCTGAAGTGAGATCAGCAGTGCATTTAGTGAACGAAGTGTGTGAAAAATCTTCGATCAGTATCGAGGGATCCAAAATCAATAGATTCATGAGGAAATGTCGAAGGGTGTATTAAGCGACATTACTACAGATCCAGTTTATGGGTAACTATAAACGTCCAAAACCGTACAAATGAGCCAGTACATGTGTTTTTAAAAGTGGACAAATATAGGCAAAAAATTGCAACGGTAAATGAACCCTCAAAAATTGTTTTGTAAGTCTTCAAAATTGATACTGACCTCATCAATCTTACTGGACACGCCCTTGCTGAAGCGCTCAGCCAGCCAGCCGCAAAAGATCACCGTTAAGTATGCCGTCCTGCGCATCCCTCGCATCAACTAGTCACCTTAGACCATATTTTCCTCGACAGATTGACCACCTACCATAGATGCCTTTGAGCTTCTTCATTCCTGACTTCTGGCTTGACTGAGTTTACAATCCACGATTATAAAGTAATAAAAAACTGCGGAGCCTTCAATCCCTCAATATTCATGACACCTGTAGTGTCTAGCTCTATGTTAAGCCCACTTAGGTTTTTCTAGTTTCCTGGCAGACTACTCTGTTCATTCTTCTCAAAACACATTTTGATCTTGTGACTTGCTGGCTTACTAACCTTGATTGTTGTTGTGTAAGCGTATGTGGGTACGTTTCTTATCTGACTCATCACATATACGAAACTTATTTTCTTCTGACTATAGATATCGATTAACTCTTGAATAAACTGAGTTGGTCTACATCTCGACCAACGACTGTATGAAAAACACGTATTCGAAATTCATTATCATTTTTGACTTATTTAATTCCTTTATTCACCAACGCGATATAAGTTGATAAATATATACGAGGGTAGCCAGGATGTATATTTCGATAGCAATCATTCAATAACAATCATTCATACGATCTAACTGGAGTCAGATATTCCAGGGCCACTAAACATTTTTAAACAAGACAATGCATGCCAAAAAATTTCTTTTTACAGCAGTTACAGACGCTGATTGTAACAACACTTGATAAATACAAACTGTTGGGCAACAAGGACTATAGTTGCAAAAACATCGACCAGTTGCTTGTTACAGTAAAGAGGTATGCTCCCACCATTCAAGAAATACTACTCGATGTAAACAAAAACGACGGTCTGTCAGTCTGCTCCAAGAGTTAACAAACAGCTACGTGGAAGTCACACCATCGACTACACCAACTCACTGTATCGTATCAATTACCAATACATAATGTAGAACAAGGTTAGGCTAGAGAAAGAACAATATATTTAATATGAATAGACATAGACATAGGCATAGACCACGCCTGCATGGCCGAGCCATGCCACTCGATCAACTCCAGTCCAATCAATTCATTCTCCGCGCCTTCTCCATTGTTAGGTATTTCCCCGAGTTAAATATTGAATATCTATTTTCTGAGTAGTCTCGTGTTCACAGCTTTGTGGATTGTGTGGCTACTGTCCAATGCCACTACATTACCGAACAACAATTGCGTATTTAACCCAAGAACTATACCACTCACTCCCGACTACTGATAATAAATGTCCCTGGCAAAGAGAAAACACAGTACGACCCCAGAGATGCAGAACAAAATGAATCAGTATACACAGGAGCAACTTATGAACAGTAGTCCAATATTGGAAGCGTAAATCGGGAATATTAAGTAAAGCAAAACTGAGTCTGTTAGCGAACTCCACTTTGACGCAAGATTACTTGATCAC